TTGTAGTCAAATCATTGTTCTAGTAGTTCTAGTCTATCATTAATAGTCACAACCTGTGTAGCTTCCTGAACAAACTGAAACTGCAAAGTAGCCTCATAAAAGGAGCTGCGTCAACGCAGATGTTTACTGGTCTTAATTCCAGTGACGAAAACGTAGCAAAAGAAGTGGGACGATGAATGAGAAGGAAAAATTGGAACTTTCGGTGAAGGTATTTCCGTTTCGAGATGAACTTGTGTGCTTCTTAAGAAGCTGCCTATCGAGAAAATCATTCGCATCCATGAGTAAAAATTTTTTTATAAAAGTGAATGTAATGTCAAATTCTAAAAGTAAACTGCGGTTACACCTTGGAACCAAACTGTAGATAGTAATGGTGGATGTTGAATGACAAGCAGCATATGTTCACTTAAGCGGCAATGCGGGACGAAGTGTTATCTATTCATGCGTCTGATAAACGTGGTCGCAGCCTTGTCACACACACTTCACGTTCGAATTCGGAATCATTCATGACCCCGTAATGTCGGAAAAAATTCAATAAATTTCGGATCTCCTAGTCCTACTTTCACTGGTCTATATTTAACACCAAGAGATAAATTTACTTCAACAAATAGCAACACAGTAAAAGCATGAAGTGGTTTTTTGGATGTTAGCATAATAGCGATGGCGATTGGCCATCTAGGAGAAAATGTTTACCGACCATCCGAAGAACTATAGCATAGTAGAAGATAAATATTGGTTAATGCGTACATTTACCGTGATTGTAGGCTTGTTGATTGGCCGCAGAATTTTCTTTGTTTAATCGACAAATTCGAGTAGAGCTTTCAAAGGCAGCTGTTGGGAAAAACCACGTCGTTCATGCTTGTGCTAGGACGTAGACGGTTGTGTTAACACCTAGATGACAAATGATTTGTATTGAAGCCTATACCAACATTTGAGGAACACTTAGATATATTCGATGACTCAAATGCTGGTAAAAAAATATCCCCCAGCAATAAAAGTAGTTGAGAAACGTGATGAATACTTCGCCCTGATATCCTGGCTATCCGGATCACGGAACAGAGTACAATTCCCATATGATTTTCAACAAGCCCCCTTTCTCATTTGAGGTCTACCTCGGGCCACTTTTTCCGGAGACAGACAATAAAGCGGTGCTTCGCTAACTAGAGAAAAACCTTTTTTTGGACTTTGACACTTGAACTATGCAACGGATTTAACTTCACCCTAACTCTGCTACAAAATTTCATTCTTTGTAGCAAATCCCGTAATGATTCTTTGATACGATGTCATAGTTGGAGCCATCTGTGAGGTGTTACTAGTGATTCCTAATAACGTGGTGTACAACACCTTGAAACCCGGATTTAGTAAGAATAGCGAAAGCAACATAACACAGAGATTTCTTGATATGTCAGCAGGCTGAAATATGGAGTGAATACATCTCTATATCAAAGGATAAAAGATGAAGGACAGAGGTTCAGTGTTAATCAGTCCATGAGGCATAGGCCATGTATTCCACTCTATCAAGCCGCCGTCGGAGGCGATTAAATGTATATTTGGCTTTCACAATAACATATTGTGGCCTACCGATGTACTAAAGTCTGCCTGCTATCCTCCAAGACAGATTTGTTACTACATTGCCAACCGCGGAAGCAGCTAGTGACCCCTGGACGCGGGATCGAACCTACCACCGACCCAGTGTGCAATGTAGGGCATCTCTAACCTTGCAATAAACGAGCGAAGAAATTAGATTTTCGTAAAATTTGTGTGAGAAACCTGATAGAATCTTTCGACTCTCTGGGAATCACACGTGCACTGTTCATGGAGAAGAAAATGGTTTCAGCTGCGGTTATTGAAGACTGGAAACCAACGAATTCGACATGCAATTCGCTGAAAACGATAAACTGCTTCTTTGATTAATTGGAACAGACGTCGAAGCAAGCATCTGGCGCATCTATGGACGATTTCGCCGCGCAAATTGGCGGCGGATAAGGTCACGCAATCGGTAAGAACTGATTAATGAGGTACGTGAACCACAGCAGGGTCGAGCGTATCTCAGTGAGACTGCAAGCGAACCGTAGATGTTACTTGGAACCGTTTTTTTCCATTTCTCTCTTCAACGGTGAAAATCAGGCAAACACTGGACAATACCGAAGATTTTATCCTCAGATAGAACGTCCAATTAAAAATATAGCGCTCGAATTTACCAACGCCCAATATCTACCTATTCGGATATCCGATTTTCATGATCCCATGTGTCGGGGGCGAAAGTTGAACCACAGCAGAGCCACTAGTGATCGAGCGTATCTCAGTGAGACTGCAAACTAGTCGTCGAAGTCACTTGAAACCGTTCTCTTTCATTTATACCTATCATATTGAAAATCAGGCAAGCGTTTGGCAATGCCCATGACCTTGGCTTCAAATAGAATGCCCAATCAAAAGCATGGCACTTGAAGTTACCAAGGCCGAATACTTATTCGGATATCCGATTTTCATGATCTCATGCGTCGGCGATGAATGTATTATGATCGGGACGGAGAGACACGGTATGAATGCAGCGTTGCTTAGTCGAGCGGATGACGACGACGATTGTGTTCTACACTCCCTGTTTTACGTAGATTTAATATAAAACGCATGGCAGAGAGGGTTTTGAATGAAGCGGAAAACGTGTATAATTCCAGAAAATGGGGAAAACAGGTGTTTTCTTATAACAGAGAAGAATCCAAGGAAATTTCTTTCAAAAATTAGCAGCACTCTTTCCAATTTTTTAGCCGATGAGTTCGCTGAAACCGGAAAGCCTTTGCTCAAACACACTGAAACATGCAATACACAGAATTTATTAACCTAGTTAAACTCTAGCTCTTACAGAGACCCTGAATTCTGAATAGTAGTTGAACCTTGAGAAGAACTGTCAGTTTCAAACACCTCTCACCTTTATGACGATAGAACTAATGAGGAGAAAAAACAGCCTAGACCGTAAAATTCATGCCGTCAACTTCAATCCTAGATCAATTTGAACATATGGAAGAAAAATGAGAAATTGGGGAAAAGCTTTCGAATGATGGACGGGTCCCAGGTCGCAGCCGACAGCCGACGGGGTCCGCCACCAGTTTCGGTCAGCGACAGACCACCGGTGGTGATCGATAGGCAGCTGACCCGCTCCGCAGTGCTATCAGTGGCTGAGGAGTTCGCCGGAGCCTCAGCCTCCTCCGTTCGTCCGTCCGTCTGCCCGTCCGTCTGCCCCTCCGTCGGTGATGAGCGCAGAAGGAGTCGCATCGAATACTCAAGTGGGATGAGTATTCCGAGAAAAATTTCGATGACAACATCATAGATCGTTTCCGGTCTCCTGCTCGCTGGACAGAAGAGGCGATGATTCGTTTAAATGGTGAAAGAGCTATTGAGCGACGAATGAAATCAAATGCACAGAACAAAATGACGACGATATGACACCGATACCAACGCGACACCAGAAACGTGTTTTTGTTCCCGGTGAATGGAAAGAATAGAGGCATTTACTTAGTCCTTGAAGTAAAGACAAAATGCATATCTAATCTATGGGAATCGATTTGAGGAAAACACGGCAATAGTTATAGTGTTACAATATTTTCCACAATCTCCATCGTTTTTCTAGAAGTCTGAAAGCTAAAATGAAGCGAAGAACAAGCCTAAAATGGCAAACGCTCTAGTTGGAGTAGTGTTCGCTTACTAGTTAAGTACTCCCAAGCCGGCTGTGCGAATCGAATTGGTGGGAAGACAAGTCTGACTCATCGTCTGTGCTATGAGATGTTCGTTTGTGAATGTTGTGAAAACAACAAAGCACGTTCGTGAGCTCGAATTCATTCGAATGGCTTTTCCGTACCCCATAAATGGCTGTATGGTGTGTTTTGTTGAGTAAACACGTCCTCGACTTCGGTTGGCCTCTTCTTCCGATCGTATCAAGTCTGTCACAAAGCCCAATAAAGCTGTAAGATACACAAAAAGTGGAACCGAACGGCTTTCGAGCGTTCGCGATCATGTTAGTTTTTCGAAAATTTCCCGATAAATACGGAACTTGAAAAACCGACAAGTTGATAAACGTATAGAGCAGACTTTGCTCTATCGCTTTCCTGTCTTTTCTAAAACGTTATGCAGACATTAAGCCGATTAAAATCCAAATTTTAAAAAGAAATTTGAAGGCAAATCTTGAATCTTTGGAGCTCAAACGTCAGCGATGCAAACGCGAGAACCAACCCGCGAGGTGTGGTGGTGAACGTGTTAGCCACAAAAAGAGTAATAGCATGTTCGATCCCCGCCGCAGACGCCTATGGTCTAGAGAAATTTCTCTTGTTCGACCAACTCATTCTAAAATCGAAAAATGGGTTTTTTAGACTTCAGCTTCATCTTCGTAGAGAAATTTCTCTAGACAATAGGTGTCTGCGGTGGGGATCGAACATGCTATTACTCTTTTTGTGGCTAACACGTTCACCACCACCACAAAAACGTATAGAGTAGTTGTTGCTTTTTGTTGGGAAGGATCTGTAGATTTCATTGCTTTTTACTCTAATCAATAAAGTCTACCATGTCGAGAGGCATGCCCGTTAACTGGTGAACAGCACAATTATCAATGCGCACGCACGCACGCATTGATGCCAATGCACGCGGTCGCCAGTTTGTTACAGAGAAATTTTGTCGTTGTAAACTACACATTTTCGAGAAATTGCACCTATAAAATTGTAAGACGTTTTTTATATAATATGAAAGTTGTCAGAACATATGTTAAATGTTATTTAGAACTTTAACTTAACCAGTATACAATCGTATTGCACAATATTGAGTCAGTGAATGAATAGCAGCATTCGTAAGCCCACGATAAGCAGCTTCGGCTTTTCTTTCTTTCAAAAATCAAAACCGAAAGTAGAAATACAAACTCTAGTCAGGTTGATAGAGAGGTCGAATGACGATCGATATCTATCTTCAGCGTTATTCAGGTTGTGAAAGTTCGACGATTTCGTCACAAAAAGTGTTAGATACTAGTCCTCTATAAAGTTCGAGTGTGTAGATTTATAGTCGCGATAGCAGTTTTTGATAGGCTCGAACACCTGGAGGCAAGGCAGGAACTGGAGCGGATTCGCCGGCTGGGCGGTATGCGCACGACAGAACGGCATACACCTACCAGCCAGGAAATTCTGGATTCCGGCCCGTTCGCAGCATTTACTGTGATTCACCTAAAGTATCCATTTACATGACGAACACATACAGAGACATATTATTTTGGTTTTTTATAGGAACTAATGAAGACGGGGCATGAACATTTTAAAGAACGGAACGATATTTTAAGGTGCAAATTACAGTAGTTATATGAAAAAAATGACGTCACTAAAAACCCATATTTCAAAAAAAGGAGAATCACCTTGTTCTAGCTGTCGCGGCCATAACTAGTGGTCTTAAGATTTCCAGCTAGCGGTCGATGCTAGCTGAATGGAGCATGAAAAGAACCACAGTTATTGTGCACTTAGCCGAATATCCGACCTACAGTTAAGGCAGAAGCCGTAAAGCCCTTTAATCCAGAGTGGTAATTTTTAAAAAGTTATGAGCAGTTGCTTTTCTTCATTTATTGTACGTAGTGGGGTAGGTCTATACTTTTATATTAATAGATGAACCAGTACGTTTGTTCGTTCTGTTGTAATTCATTAAAGATAACGTTTCTTTTCAAACCAGAAAACTTTGCGGATTGGATTTCGATCTGGTATACCTAGAGGACCTGTTTACTAACATTGTTGTCGCCGTAGGCTCATTCGTGAACTCTCCGAAGTCAAAACTGCCTGCTAACAGTGGTCGTGATGGATTTTCAAAAGTTTCCTGGATGGTCCCATCATGGTCTTTTGGTTCGAATTCCTCTTAGTTTTATTTTCTAGTTTGCAAATAAAAATGTAAAGTAAAGTAGAATGTTTAACTGCATCATCGATCACCTTTGAAGATGCACAGTCGAAAGCGTAGCCGAGTTGAGGCCCAGGACAAACGTTTGTCAGGAAGCCGAAGATAATCTGAATCTGCTTGTGGTGGCGAGTACAAATGATGGCCGCGCACTAGTTTATATCCATCTTGTTGGAAGCTGTCTTCGCATTGCATTGAATGGTATATTATTTTCCGACATTGGATTATATCACTACTTTTATCTGATTTTTGTGAATTTCTTTTGTTCCTCAATTGCCTCAGGGTTCGTGTAGCGCAGTGAGTCAGGAGCGCCCTGCAATACACATTGGATCGATCCCCGCGCCCAAGGTTCAGCAATTCTTCCATCCCATCGCGGTCGGCAAATTGGTGCCCGACCTGTCTGCGAGGATAGCAGCACTGGTTCGATACATAGGTGGGCCACCGTGGGTAATTGTAAAGCCCAGATATGCATTCAATCACCTCCAACGATGTTTAATGAAGGCGAATGCATGGCGCATTCCTTAGCGACTGATGAGCGCCGAGGGCGGCGACAGCCAAATGATAACTGGCAGTCCCACTCGTAACATCACGGCTCTGAGGAAGGCGAAGTCGTCGAAACGTCGACCATCGACCAACAACACCAAGAGCAACGACAACAACAAGGACAACGACAACGAAGACCTGGCCCAACCTCGCGTCAGCTTAAGAAGATCAGTTTATAAGATCATATAAATAAATATATCAATCTCTTGTTTTCGTTCTTGTGCTAACACGAAGGCTTTATAAAAATTTGTTCTGCTAGCGTTTCTGGATTGTGGACTTTCTGGTTCCCAAACCACAAGAATAAAGGGCTATGGAGAATCAACTCGAATCATTCTGACTCGGAGGAAGACGAAGGCGCCGAACTGTTAGGCGAATAAAATTTTTATGACAACTGGTTCATGTTAGCTTATCAACGAAAGAATACGTTGATTACCATTACAGTTTCGAGTCTGGGCTTCCATACAGCAGAACTTTGGATAAATCTTCTTCTTCAGAAATTATAGAGGAAAATCGAAAGAAGAGCTATTTTCTTATTTTGTCATAGTACACATCTAAAATTTAAAAGCTCATGTTTCCATTTGGCCTCTGTTAGTAGTTTTGCATCGCTTTGGATTGATTTTCATCTGTGTATTATGGCTGGGCGTCATGGCTGAATGAAGAGCACTTCCAATCAACTGAAGGGTGCATAATTCACAGTGCACACTATGCATCCATCTCATGTAGTCTAGCATTTTTCTGTACTGTCATTTAGTAAGAGATTGGTCTACAGGTAGGAAAGCGCTGAGATAAGTTCCGACTAAGGACAGGTAGGTAGGGGACCAGAGGATTTCTTCATGGAGTGTTGTGAATAGGCCATTCAATCACCTCAGTATTTGAGTCACCTCCTTGGCCAACCGTCCACACCCCAGAACAACTTTTCGTTTTAACCTATTCTTGTCGTCCGTAAAAGTGGTGCTTGTGAATATGTTCTGCTGCTATCACTCTATGATTTAGAAATAAAATGGTTTAACTTGTCTCGTCTATAAGAATTAAAAACATGTCCGATCATCTAGATGATTGGTCACGTCTACAGCTACTTTGGAAGCCCACGCTGATTTTCGCCCTTGCACAATTCTTCTTCCATCCCGCTTATAATGCTCATTGAGTGTCCTAGGTAAAGCGTATGGTATATCTTAATACTTGTTTACTTGGATGGTCATCTTCACTGGTTGTACGAATCCTAGCATAGTTCCCATTTTTTTCGGAGTTTCGTTGGTTTAACCATTGTGGCTCCGTGGAGTCTTGAGGTCAGCTAGGCCGAAGGTCTGCACCAGGTCGTCACCAAAACAGTTGCTACCCTTGTGGATCAGAGGAAGATTTGCTACTATGCGATTAGTTTGATACAAGGATGGTGATGGATCCTGGTATTGGTTTACTCTTAGCTGGGATTTCTGATAGACACGCCGGACTCCACCTCAGCTTGGAGGGCCCTGCTTCGAGGGGAATTCTCCCCGCTGTACATCGCAACCCGACACCCTGGAACAACTGCTAGCTACGGTGATGCGGAAAACCGGTGGGAAGGTAAGTCTTAATAGGAGCGCCATCTTTAAATTTGGTGTGCACGTCGAATCGCCTTGTTGTGCTCGCTGATCTACGACACTGCTTAGTTGGTACGTCTCCAAGAACTGACATTGTTATTGACCAAGAGTACGTTCTGTGAGACCCGTTCTCTTGTTAGCATAATAGAGGCGGTAGAAAAGATTGGCTTTTATGACTCTAGCTGCGTTTTGCATGTCGTCCATAAACGGAACTTTGATCGAAATCCTGCACGTTAAATCGGTCAAGTTCGTTATATGGGTGACAGAACAATCGTTGTGAATTGCCCGTGTACTACTTCAACGTGCAAATTGGAAAATAAGTGTGATTTCTTCAGGCACTACTTTTTCGACGAGTGTTCTTGTGCAAGGTCGTCTTCCATTTGCTGTGATTCTTTTCCTTTGGAGGCACAATGTAATGTGCCTAGCATGAAACGAACGGGATACACGCCGAGACTTCCAGTACGCTCAAGTGGTTTTCTAATGAGAAGGAAAAATTTGGTGATCACTGAATCTCTCCAATAAGAGATGAACTTCATATTTGTTTGTTCTCATTAATGCTTTAGTATTTGGTACCCATGAAATTTCAAGCGCACACCATTCCACCAACCTGTGGTTATCCTTTTTCACAAACAGCACAGTGAAAAACGTGGAACTCGGTGGGTCTCTGAAGCAGATAGTGGCCACTAGGGTACTGTTGCAGACAACAGGGGTACATGCAGACTTTACTGCTGTTTACTTAACTCACTCGATGATAAATAGGAGGATAGGTGATTTATGATTGGTGACTCATGAGTGAGTGGCGTTGTTCAAAAATTGCTGGTCTAACTGGATTTTTTGTAGTTTACTTGAGAGCCGACGAGTATGAGAACGGTCACTCAACATTGGTGTAACCTCTGCTGTAGCAGATGACTCCAAGAGTTTTCCGAACAATTACTGTAGTTAAGTGATGCCTAATATTCAAGCACCATTTTTGAAACTCTGAAAAAGTTAACGATGTAAAAATGTTGAATATTTGAATGGTCACTTATGATTAGGAAACTGGCACCTCATACTCATTATACGAGTTATATGGTATTTCGTTTCGATCTAAAGTTTATTTCTTTTCGTATCCTTTTTGGTAGCACTTAATTGATTTTGCCTTCAAGAGCTATAATAGCCTGTCCACAGAGTTAAGTTACTACGTGCAGTTGTGAAAAACTAGGTGCTTGTCGCTACCATTGTAGAGAACCTGTTATAGAACTCCATTGAAAACTATTTAAAAGATTATCATGCTGTACGAAGACGTGTACAGTTGATTTGAAGTGGAAGCCCGGTCGTAATCGTCCGTTGAACACCAGATTCATCCGTGAAAAAGCCAAGGAAAAACTTAGCAGGCATCCTAACGGCGTGGCTGACTAGCTCGCTCATATGGTCAATTGATCGTCAAAAAGGAGTTTTGACTCTGGATCTGTCGTCTGATCAATTAGTAGGAGTTAACCGATGCGGTTAAAGTGAGCTAATAGAAGAAATGCAGCCGATTGCACGAATTCTTGCCATTTGAAAGTGTTTGATGGCTCGATGGGTTTATTTCTGTAGTTGAAGTCACTCTTCCTTAAAATGGCCATGGTTAGTCCGATTTTGAAATAACCACGAAGAATTCTAAACGAGTAATATTTGAGGAGTCCTTACAAACAGAAAGACTTCCCATTTTTTAATCGATGAGGATTAAAATTAAATCTCAGTATATTATACCGAAATGAGGGTTTCAATAAAGCATTCCTTCCTTGAAAGTGGAGGAGCCTCAGCATTATTTTCACCAAGAATGGCCGCCCGCCCATGGAGTGAAGCGACGCTCGGATATCTGGAGTCGAATTTTCCGAAGATCAGTCGTTTGCTAGAGTCCGAGATAACATACGTGCGATTTTCCAATTTTAGGCATTCTTATGGTAGAAACTAAGAAACAAGGACAACATTGATTTGGACTGTCCGCGCAAGTGACTCACAAGTACTGGTTGCAAATAGTGCGATTCTCCTGCGCTGTACCATTCGTAACATGGGGACTACAAGCATGTTACAAAGCCAAAGGGAGTCTTCATGAATACTTCGTTTAAGTGCTGTTTTCCTACACTTTTTTTTGAGGTGTAAAAGTCAAAGAAAATCATTTGTTTGTTATTTAGCTACTGCAGGCAAACTCGCAGGAAAATTCGAACACGCTCATGGATGATGGATGCGGAACAACGGACGGATGAAGTTTTTGGACCTGCACATTGTTTAGAGACAGGATGATACAAGTATAAACATAATTGAATAGATTGATACGCAGGTAAGTTGATGCACACGTATTATTTCTTAAATCTGTCTAAAGCAAAAGGAAAAACCACAGCCTCTTAGTAACATTTGGAAGATGACCAGCATTCCAGAACTTCTCATCCACAGTGTTACGTTTGTTGTGAGTAAAGAACGGTTTACGCTGCCTCAGACTTCACAGAAACAGCATATAACTCAACAAACCTTATGTTTTTTACGATGCTCTACGTCATGTCATCTTTGTCATCTACGACGTCGAGCAGTGGGACAAAAACTTATGGTGATGAATTCTTTAGTCACTTAGGTCATAACTGGACTGTGAACAAAGCAGAACGTTCAGGACATGCTTCTAAAACTGCTTCTTATTCTGCACTCACACTAGCAAAGTACCCTTTTTAAACGGTGGTATAAATGGTTTTTTCGAACCTTATATCACGCTCAAAGTTCACCTGATCGCCCACATAAAAAGTGCAGGAAGCAGATAGCAATTAAACGACCCAACTAGTACTACACGTAGGGAAAAGTATGTCGTCGTGAAGTGTCAGTAGTTAAGGCTTTTTTGTTCACCCATAAATTACATACTATGCAGGATACTATAATTTTGTATGGTCGGCCTTTGTCCTAAACTTCCAAACGAAAATGAAATCAGTACCATGATTTGTTAGTCTCCAACGTGTACACCCGATGATGGCGCATCGGTTGCGTTCTACTGGAGGAGGTGATCAACAGGAAAGAGAAACCCTTTTTAAAATTTTATAGTGGAAAACATCAACACCCATTTCTGCAGTGCCAGTGGAAATGAGTGTTTGATTCCTAACAATCCATATTTCGATAACAAGAGAAGCACTCTGCTCATTTTTCTCTCAATCGCTCTTCCAGCGTTTTGCCATTAAGCGGAGACTTCCTACGCTAACACCTCAAATACATCGGGCATATTGTACACCAGCCATATCGGTTTCAGTGATGTTATGACCTGTGCATACAACATCAAGCTGAACGAAGGAGTCGAGGAATTTCGAGAATCGTCTACACTTTGCGATTCAGGATGATAGCACGGTGAAAGGGC